GGCTGCCTTCCTGGCCCTGGGACATTCCCCATTCTGGATTTTTTTTTTAATTTTTATTGTTGGTTGTTCAAAACATTACATAGTTCTTGACATATCATATTTCACACATTTGATTCAAGTGGGTTATGAACTCCCATTTTTACCCCCTATACAGATTGCAGAATCACATGAGTTACTGGGTTTTACACTGCTCTTTCAACCACCCTCTTGCTCTTTCCCCAGATCTTCAAGTATCTGGCTCCTTCTCATCATCCTTCACGTCTCAGTTCCAATGTTACCTTTTTAGGGAGGACTCACACTCCCTTACATGTGGCCTTCCCCTCTGTCTCTCCTGTCCCTTCATGGTTGAGACCCAGTCTCTGTGGGTCTTCCCTTCAAGATAGCTTCACCAAGCTCCTTTCTAGCTCCTAACTATACACCACAGTACACAGAGGACTACCTAACACAGAACAGGTCCAAGGGAATATTTCTTGGAGAAATGAGTCAGTGAATAAGAAAACAACCCTGACTACATGAGTCTATACTTTAGTAAGTACCCTTTAGATCAAATAATGAGAACAATATTAATAACACAATCATAGAAAATTTAAAACATTGATATGAAAAACTGAATTAAAATATATTCAACTATTGCTTAGGCAAGACAATTGAGAGGATTCTAGGTAATTTAGCTGACTAAAAAAAAGTGATAGAAATTTTATTTTGTTTTATCCACTATTTCTTATGTATTTCCAAATGAATTACAACGAATTATTATCATAATTTGCTATTCGTTTAGGAGAGAGCTAAAATCTTCCCTCAAAATGAATCTCCAAAAAATTATTAGACACAGTAAATAACAAAATTGGTAGTAAAGGATAGAAAAATTTTAAAATAATATGCCTAACTAAAACTAAATTCAGAAGCCATGAAAATGATTGATAGACCTTAAAATAAAAATCTAAAATTTCAATAAGTCAAAAGATGAGCAGGCTGAGAGAAAAAGCCTGCAATCTGTATAAGAAGGCAAATCTCTACTGTCTGTGACCTATAGAAAGTTCCAGACTACTAATTTTTAAAAAAATATAACCCAATATAAAAACAGGTAAAGGATCTGAACAAAACATTGTCATTAACAATCTGATTGGTGAAAAAACCTCTTAATTTTTATTTATCAAGAGTGGAGTAAAAAAAACCTTGTTGAAAGATATGTAAATTTTGAAGGGCCCTTGGGCAGTATTCTATAAGAGTTTCTGTGGTCTAGGAATCAAACTCCTGTGGATCTATACTTCAAACTTTAAAATAACTGGTTAAAAGGATAGTTACAAAAAATACTGACTGCAGCCCTCTTCATAACTGTGCACTGACTTGAAAATGTCTATGACTGATTTTTTTAAAGTTAGAAAATAAATACTGTGGGATTCCATTTTTTTTTTAAATGTCTATATGTAGACATTTCAAAATGTCTAGAAGTGTAAAAACCAGAAAACAAAAGCAAAAGTCAAACCTGGTAGCCTCTGTGAAGTATATTATAGGTGATATTAATTTTCTTCATCAAGTTTTTCATTTTCTTCATATAGTCATTAACATGAGAATCCTTGAGTTTTCATTTTGGGTCAAGCTATTTCAAAAAGAGAGAGCCTAATATGTGTCAGGCAATCAGATATTTCCTTGCCCTTAGTTTGTGTGGTGGTGGGGGATGGAGAGGGAGGCAGATAAGTATAGAGACTAACTTTCAGGGGTCTTGGCCCCATCAGCCAGGCAGAGTGCCAGGGGCAGGGCTGCGGATGGAAGATTCTGGGACAATCCTAATGACTTCAACGTGACTTTTTCACTCCAATTTTTATACTATTAACTAATTTCCTCATGTTTTTCTAGAATGAAAGGAAAATAATGTCCAATCAATTAAGGGTCTGGAGCAGTTAGGCCCCAACTGAAGGGAGTTGAGTTGTTGGTGGGGAGACAAAGAAGTCAACTTTGGTTACTTTCTCAGCATCTCTCTCAGAACAAAAATAATGCAATCATTCATATCCTAAGAAGTTCCCTGAAGATAAACCAAAGGGACTTTTCATTTTCCAGTAGAGCCACCCATAAAAAATGAACATGTTAATCTTCCAGGAATTTCCCTAAAGACAACCATGCCACAAGGTTCCTATAACACCCTGTCCCCTCTCTGTCTCCAACCACTTTGTTGCCTCAGACTTCCAAGAAAGGAGAACTAGAGCTGTATGTCTTAAAAGTGCTTATTCTTAACAAGCCACACTCCTTTTGAAAATGTAATGAAGAATCATCTCTCTGGGGCAGAGATAAGTACAAAGGAAGCTCCATTTTGCAGCTTCTTATTAAACAGGGTTCCAAATGCAGTTAAAGCTGTGAAATACAGCTGAAATTATGGCATTTCCTAACCCCAATATTTTCCTTTCTCTCACATCTTTATTAAGAACCTGATAGGTATGGCTGATGGCTCTCTCAAAGTAAAATAAGTTATAAATAAATAACACTTTTCCCCTCAAGGAATGGAGTTCACACATTTTTGCACAAGCCCACCTCAGTGTCATGGTAGTACCTAGATTTGCCCCATCTTTAGATCCCTCTAGCTGGAATAGGTGATATGATTTTTTTTTTTTTTTACGCCCACCATTTGAACTGTGAGACTTTTAGAATTATTACACTAAGGTCAATTTGCCAGAATCTCCAGCCTCACAAGTTACCAATTATTGCCTGGCAGATGTTTTA